CTTGCATTCTTTTGATAAGGTTAATTTTTACTACGCTACAGGGCCTACTACCACTTCTACAAGGCTTTGCTAAATTTATTAGGCCTCATACTACATACAAGGCCTCACTACATCTTTGACTTTAATTAGGCTCTAACAACAACATATAGCTTAATATCTGAACAAATGACAGAAAAAACACTTGGTCTAATCTTCACAGAGCCTTCAACAAGAACCTTTATGACACAGACATAATGTTCAGCTGTCACATATTTCACTGGTGTTTTGGGAGGTTACCAGTGTTCCCACAAGCACACAGGAGTTGAGTTCAATTAATAACGTTATTCGACAGCTTACTCTACTTTCATGCCCAGTCTATTCCCACTCCATTCTCTCACCCCTTCATTCTTATCTCAGAAACCCTCTTGGCCAGATCTGCCACACTTGTCCATGCTGAATAGTACTTGACTCCTTAAATATTCCCACAGAAATTAATGGGGTTGTGCACAGAAAGTATCAGTATCTGGTTTTATGAGCTTGAAACCTTCTACGAGATCACTTTAGCTGGAATTAGCTATGTATAAAGTATCATACTTGTGAGGTAATTCCAGTCCCTTGCCCCCTTTGTGGTTTAACCCTATCCCTATCAAATCCCAAATACAAGCACTCCTAAACGTGGGGAATCTGGACCTGAACTTTACTACTTGAATGTATCTCATCTCAATGTGCAGTGGCTTTCTACCCATGACACCATCCAAGATTCTCCATTCAAACTGTCTCTAAAAATGACATGCATTTTAAATTAAATGACAGGCATTTTAATGTTTTGTTCAGCAGAGAAAGAAGAGGCACTCTAAGGCTCAACTGCATCAACTGTTTCCCTAAAGTGGAGTTGGCACCAACACTATTTTTGTACTTTTTATGTATACTTTTATAAGAACATCATGTTGCTGCATGAACGATAGAAGCAACAAGAAAATCTTATAACTCTAACTGAGCCTTGGGTTAATGTTCCTGAAGGAACTGTAGAAGCAGTAATAGTAGTGGCAGAGAGGCTTTCTCTTATGATCCCCAAACTTTCTTTCTGATTATTGTGTAATTCTCATCTTTGCTCCAGTCTAGAAGCTTATGGAAACAATTTGATCTGCAGATCAAAGAAATCAGATGTATGCAGCATAGAGCAACTCTTTGTTTTGCCAAGTAAATTTTGTATTTGTGAAAATTGCTAGTTACACTGTCCTTAAAGTGAAGCCTTCAGTTCAGCCACAGTTCAGCCACCTTGCATTGTGGGAAGAGATTGTGCAAGCTAATTCATACCATCTCAAACCTAATCAAGAATAACATCTTTGAAAATGAAAGGATAATTCAGTCTCTGTACCTGTTCTTTTCTTGATCTCTGTGATGGAAGTGCCAATAAGACTGTTAGTCACGACTCGGGCTTTTGTGATATAGTTAACTCTACAGGTAATAGGTTGAATTTCAACCGTTGAAAAAGCTAGAAAATATCTTCCATACAGTAATGGAAGAGGAAAGGTTGGAGAACTTCAAGTAATAAAGTTGTATAGATGTGTCATGAAATTAAATCTCTGCCCTTCCTCCTTCCTTTCAGTGAGTGCAGATGGTCCTGAATGCAAATGGGGAAGGACATAGGAACTCCATACAGAGGATCCAAGACACCACAGAGTAAGGATTTCATTAGGGGCTCCCTGTATCCACACGCCCAGAAAGGACTGTGGATAGAAGACAGTATGCAAAGAATATACCCTTGGGTGAAGGAACCCAGAGTCCTAATTCCCTGCAGCCTGAGAAGCCTGCTGAAGATCTGACATTTAAGAAGATAGTGTTGTGTATGTAACATAGGATTATGTGCTAATGTGAGGCTAGGAGGATGATAAGTTTCTGGAGTCACTCTAAAAGGTTGTGAATGGCATGACCTGAAAAGGCCTTACCCAGTGCACTGACAAAAATGGAGCCATGCAGTCCCAGCCATGCTGCTTGCTGACTGTGTTATGAACAAGCGAAGCACATGCCTTGAAACAATGAACTCGAGAAAGAAACCAGTCAATTTTCCTTTGTTTTTGAAGAGCCAATGTCTTCCACACTCCTTTTTTGGGGTCCCTTATAGCAGGGCTCTAGGAGAGGTAGAAACGGAATAAAACAAGGAAACATCCTCTCATGCTAACCACAAACTCTGAATATGACAATAAGATTCTCTCTTAATACGTACCATACAAAATCCTTTACACCAGGGGATTGTGATTGACAGTGTTACATTACGCTTACTTTGCACTGGTATATATATATATGTATGGTCCAGGGTCACAAGGACCATCTATCTCCTGGCCAAAGGGAAGGCACTCCAGTTAAGAATCTATTCATGCTTCTGTACCTTGCCAAACTCCTCTTCAGCTCTCGGTCTCTCTAATAGTCAGAGGAACTGTTCAATCCAGTGTAATCTGGCAAGACTAACATAACTAATTTTGAATCTTTCTACATCTCTGATAATGAATGTATGTACGGATACTTTAATTCCTGTGCATGTCATTTTAACCTGCTTTAAAATTTAATAACATTTCAAATTTTAAAAAGGGAGAGATTCTATATATAATGCATTCAAGGGTCAAAAGCCCCTGGAAAGCACTTGCTTGGCACTTTGATACATTTTTAACCTGGTTTGCTGAAGTCTGTGTTTCTATACACGCTCCTGCAAAAATACTCTTCCTAGAATAAAACTAGCAATTAGCATGCCCTGATTTTAGTATTAACTTGCAGGGGAGGGAGGGTCACTTTTGGTTGGGTGGTGTGGAGGGAAATCTGGGGGGGAGGGGTTGTTTTGGGAGGGTTATTTTGGGGGAGGGAAGCGGGGGGAGGTCTTGTAGCTTCATTGGTTCCGTCCTAAGGTAGAAGCAAACCAAATTTCTCAGCAGCTCAATGTCTAATTTCATCAGTTTTTACTGGTTTGAGCTTCATCATGATCCCACCATGGACCAAACTTTAGTGAACTCAGTAACCTGAACTGTGTTTGCTGGTGTCCAAATCTCTGGCCAACACTTTGCAGCCACTCTAGTCTGGCAATGTACTGAAGGAAGTTTTACGTCAATCCCAGTACCTGTTAGCCAATAAAGTTTACTTGGCAGTTCCCAGAACACTGGATGGCCGCCACTTTCTAAAACAGTGATTTTCAACCAGGGTGCCAGGACACCCTAGGGTTGCCTCAGGACCCTTTGAAGAGTGCCGCGAGATGTGAGGAGATAAACCAGATGTGAGGAGGTAAGTGCAGGCTCACACTCAGGGGCAGATCCAGGAGAGGTGCACTGGTACACATGCACACACCTCCCACTTCGATTCCTAATTCCCCCAAAGCTTAAAACCAACCTCCTGGCAGTGACAGCAGCATTTCAAGTCAGACAGTGCTGAGGGAGTTACTTGACTTTATGACTCATTATAACCTACCTGATCCCTTCTAACCCCTTCATTCCACAGGTGTTAATGACCCTCTCTCCTTTGTCAGGATCTTGATGCTCCACTAATCAAGGTAGCCTTTCTTCTGTAATTCTGCTGTTTGTTTGCTGCTCCTGGTAATGAAGCTCCTATTTCACACCCCTGCAGACTCTTTTTAACTCATTCCAAAGATGTTATATTTGTTTTTGCTTTGATCTAAAACTGAATAATCTAGGCCTGGGCCCCTAGCATATTTGTAAAGCTTCTAGTTTCTTTTTACCTGGAGAAAAATATATGTTGAGTAATGTGTGATGATGCACCTCACCGCATGCACCCTGCTTTTCAAAATTCTAGATCCCACTATGCAGACGCTAGTCCTGGCCTGGTAGTTTCCCCACCCCTATTGCCTTTCCCCTCTACAAGGAGATACTCCCTGTAATAAATAAGTTACTGTTTGAAAAGTGCCTCTCAATTCACCAAAGTGTCTTGAGCCTACTCTACAGTACAGTGTTTTAAGTCTAAGGTGCAGTGCCTTTTGTCTATGGAGGGCTGCCTTGAGTCTATGGCATGGCATCTTGAATCTATGGTGCGGTGCCTTGAGTCTAAAAAGACCAGACCCACTGGCCTAGAAGCAGCAGTCTTCAAGTCTGACTCTAACAGTATCTGTCACCAGGTAGGAAATGCAGAGTTCCCTTTCCCTTATTTCCTTCCCTCCAGCCCACTGTGGCACCTTGGCTGCAGGGTGGTCTCTGCTTGGCTGCTGTTGGTCTCTGGGGTGAACACGTATCACCAAGCAGCTTGGATTATAGTGTGGGGGTGTATATGGGGGGGCGTGTATATGCGTGTGTATGTGTATATGGGGGGGTGTATGTGCATGTGTGTGTATGTGCATGCGCGCGTGTGTGTATATATATATATGCATGTTTGTATATGTGTGTGTATAGATGTGTATATGTATATATATGCACATGTGTGTGTGTATGTGTGTGTACACGTGTATATATGTATATGTATATGAATATATGTATGTGTGCATGTGCGTGTATATATAGATGCACGTCTGTATATATACGTGTATACACACGTATATGTGTGTGTGTGCATGCACGTGTGTGTGTGTGTGTGTAATGTACATATGTATAAAGAATAACTATCCCAGACATAGCAGTGCCGGGTATAAGGTGGGGTAACTTGGATCCCAGGAGCGCAGGGCTGGAAGGACGGGAGGGACTCCCGCGGCCTCGGCTCCAGCCCCTGCTCCCGGCGGGACCCGGCTGTCCCCGCGCAGCCAGCTCGTGGGGGCTCCCGCGCGGGGTGGCGATGGCAGCGCCCGCCCCGCGGGAAGTTCCTCCTCCTGCTCTATAGCAGTGCCGGGTATAAGGTGGGGTAACTTGGATCCCAGGAGCGCAGGGCTGGAAGGACGGGAGGGACTCCCGCGGCCTCGGCTCCAGCCCCTGCTCCCGGCGGGACCCGGCTGTCCCCGCGCAGCCAGCTCGTGGGGGCTCCCGCGCGGGGTGGCGATGGCAGCGCCCGCCCCGCGGGAAGTTCCTCCTCCTGCTCTCCCACCTGTTCCCCCTGCTGCCAGCTGAAGCCGTTGCTCCTCGTCCTGTCCCCTAGAGAAACGCCCCGTCCTGCCCTGCAGCCTCCCCTTCCTCCCCACGCAGGTATTTGGGAGCTGGTATCGAATCGCCCCTCGGTCGTAGCTCAGATCTAGCCCCCCCCGCCAAGGAGCGGGATCCGGCCGGGAG